ATATATTATAACATTACAAAAAATATTGATATTACATACGAAAATTTGTTTGCAATCCAATAAATTTGTAGATAATATTAAGCTTGTGATGTATTAGTGAAAAAACAATATTTTATAAATAAATTGTTCATATGAAATTGTTATCTAAAGATTTCAGATTGAGTAATTATCGACTACATTATTAAAAAAATAATCTATTTTTATGATATATACCACTGAATATTTTTCTGCTATATACCTACGAATCAGGCCATGGGTAATTTCTTATGAACATATCCGTATGTAACAACTAACAATTTTATGCATGTAAGTTTTCATAGGATATATCTGTAAGAAATTGCTCTAAATATATTCATTAGTAATTACTCTCGAATATAAAAAGTTGACGCAGTTTAACGAAATAAATCGACCCAATTGAAACCACACCCCTGAAACAATTATTATGTAGCTCCTATCTTATAAATTATATACCAGTCAAATTAAATTGTTAAGATACTTTTTTCTTCATTTTTTTTATGAATATAATTCATTGTTTTAAAAGTGATAAGTAAGACTGATCACTATATGCAGATATGACTTCTTCCGACTAAATATTGTATTGTATCAAATAATTTAATAATAAAATACAACAAAATATAATAAAAATAATAAATAATTAACTTTCTTATAAATTACATATTAAAAAATCTAAGTCTCACATGAATAACTAAGGGCATTGATGGTAAAAACAACTCACTTAAGTTACTTCATATATTAAAAAATAAAAAAAAATAATTTCCAGCGTGTCATGTTAATATTAAGGAACTTAAATACAAATATACTCGTAAATTTTTTTAAGAAATTTAACTTTTAAATTTTTTTTTCTAATTATTTATGAACCAATTTTAAATTTTTATTAAAAAAATATAATTACACTACAATAAAAAAAAATTACGAGAAAAAATACACAATAAATAAATATTAAAAATAAAATAAAAATAATAGTAAATATATAGATATTATAAGAAATTAATTTTCATCATTATTATTTTTAAAATGTTCTCAAATATGTTCAATAAAATCTACTTGAAATCTAATAATAAACGATTACTTGAAAAAACAACTCTCTTTCTTCTTCAAACAACTCATGTTACCACATCAGAATCTTTCAATAATAAAAAACCAAAATTTAAATTGTTTAATAAAACAAGCAACTCCTATTGAAATTGCTCTAATTTTTTTTTAAAGAATGTATAAATAAAGACTAACAAGTCAATATTTATCCTATACCTTTAAAAAAATCATCTATTATTTATCCCCATATCAGATTTAATAATGTCAAAAGTAAAAGAATACATATAAAAAATATAGATTTCACATCGATTACAAATAAAATAATTAAATTAACCTTAAATCCATTATTTAAAGACTATCAACTTACTAATAACACTGAATCTAAGTTAATTTTAATAATCAAATATATACCACATATAAACCCTTATTGCATAAATACTTTATAAAATAAATTTATAAGTTATACCTTCTATTCTACTTTTGTAATTAAGATAAAGATTACAATAAAATTTAAGTTCTCATTCCTTTATCATCTTATTGTATTAACATCCTAAGATATTTTTGCTGCCTAATACTAGAGGAAGCAATTCGGCCATTTTCTGCCTGCTGCTATGCAACTTGCATATAACTTGAAAGCAAGAGGATCTCCTAAATCTACATTGAAACTAAAAGGACGATCTAAGACATACATTACAACAAAAAGACCCAAAATAGGGAGCGTTTATTATTTTAACATAGTCATCGAGTAACAAGCGCTTATCGTTGCATGTCCTTTCCGTGATCATTTCATGGCTCTGTGAAAAGGTTGTTTAATTAATTAACGTGCTGTAGTCTTTAAGATCCATCATTTGCCTGTATCCTCAAGAAAAAGGCAGCGACTAAATAATATTATCAGGGGTACACAATCCCTGCTTTTTACAGTTTTACGAGATATCCAAATCTGAAATTACTTTTTACCAACTTCAAGTTCTGAATTGACCACAAAACTTGGTCCACCTTATTAGACTTTCTACCCTTCGTGCAATATCTCCAACTCTCCAAGGACTCCATCGTTATTTATGTGTACCTCCAAAGAGGTTCACCTTTGAGAAAAGGGACCAAAATAATAATAAAATTGAGTGAGATCTATTGGTATGATCATGGCAACAAAAACAAAATCGTGATCATGGCAACAAAAACAAAATCGTTGTGGCGTTATCCCTCACTATTGTATAACGGTGGGACGGGTGTGAAGGACAAGCCCATACCATTATAGTAATGAAATGGTCCACATAATTTAGGTAAATAAATTCCACTTCTAGCACTGTGAAGTCGTACACTCTCTTGAACCAAATTCAAAATATGCATTTGCCGTTAGTTGTAAGATGCATTGCCATTGCATTTCACTTGTGTAGTACACGCACCTCCGAAGTTTGGGGGGCCACCCGCCCTGCTGTCCCATCTTTACACCACATCCTATTAATCACATTTCAATTCCCATCTATCATCATTATTTTCTCCAAACTTATTCAATTCTTGCATTTCCATCCCTATTCTTCCTTTATCATTTCATTTCCATATTTATTTAATTTATCAATTCTTACTTTGTTTAGAAATCAAGGACAAAAATCGTGTAAAGATTGTTTATATCAGCACCCCCATTCCTTAACTCATTCATATGAATTTTCAGAACAAGGTTTAACAACTATCAAAGCCAACAATATCTGTGATTACCCTTATGCTTGTAAAAGACACTCACTCATGATTTAACTGTCAAATTTTTACAAAATTTTTTAAATTTGAATCTCATTTGTTAATTAACAAGTGTATGCGTGATTTTGTAGTCCCAACAAAACTTATGAACAGAAATAGTAGGTTAGAAAGTGTGTTAAAAGAGAGAAATTGTTAGGAAGCAGACAAGGGTTACTGAGTATGAAAGAAGGTCACGCGCCATGAAAGAGTGCGCTTTGCATTGAAACAAGAGCAAGAGGGTTTTAATGTCAATCTGCAATCATGCGCCTAACCTGACGTTCAGAGAGCTCGTGGAGCCTAGAAAGAAAGAAACAGAAAAACGTACTACCCTCGACAGACACTAGGGAAAGGAAGAGAAGAAGGGTTGGCCACATCCATTTTTTTATGCTGACACCCCATCTGCCTCACCTGATGCTGCTTGCTACATATGCCATGTATTGATAGCAAATAAGCAACACGAATAACCCAAAGCATCTTGTTTTTTTACTATCAATATGGCAATAAGCCAGGCATGCATGACTCGAAACCGAGGCCACGGACACTGATTTACAAACAAAAGCATAACCAGATCATAGCATATGGAATGAATACCCCTTTGAAATTCGATATTCCAAATGAAAAACCATTTCCGATAAGTGAAAAAAAAAACTTTGATTTGTTATCAAAAGGGTTGTAAAAATCATTGAAATCCCATCTCATCAGCCTCTCATAAAGACCGGATAGGTCTAAACAACATGGATCCACGAAGAAAAATGAAAACTTTCAACACCAACACATCCAAACAAAAATAAACCAAGAAAGAAATTAGGGTTTCCATCTCCCCAAACCAACACATGTAAAGATTGAGCGAGGAGAGAACACATCATAATGCAAACAAACAAATCAATGAGTACTAGGGCTACCTCTCTCTGCGAGATTTCCTTAGCCATCTTAGGGTCCTGCAGAAACACAAGTATATATGTAAAAAAAAAGGAGAATAAAATAACCTCCCCCTAAACCCCAACATGCTAGTTAGTATGTCAAACACATAGAAATGGAAGAAAAACAAAAAAGACTTAGGAAGATGTTGTGGTGGTAGTTTTACCTTATAGAAGGGTAAAAAAAATCACGGTGCAGATCGTAATAAATTGAGAAAGAAACATCACGAAGGCTTTACAAAGAGGAGTTAACAGAGATCAGTTGGCAGTATGCCCACCTCCAAGCTTGTGGGTGAGAAAGAAGAAGAAGAAGCGGAGGTGGACAGAATGCCAATAAACTCTGTTAGCAACACTTTGCCAAACCAACTTGAAGAAGAGAAGAGAAAGGTGAATGAATGAATGAATGAAGGAAGGAGAATGATAATTGTGATGGGTTAGGACTTGGCAGCTCAGCAGGTATTTAAGATGTGACGGAGCTTGACTTTACTTGAGAGAGAGAAAGATAATTTAATTAAATAAATAATTAAGTATATTATATACCAGTATTATTAATTTATTACTATTATGGCATAGGTGAAAAGGAAAAAAGAGAGAGAAAAGGAAGGAGGATACGTAGTTGCAGGCGCAAAAGATTGATAAGCGATTGAGATTAGATTGTTCATTCCTGAGAGTAGAGCGCATATTTAGAAGGATCAAAGGATCATCATAGTTATTCCTCACCCTCCCTCGTTCTTGATGAAACCCCTCGATTCTGATGAAATTTCACCCGCAAAATGCACTCGTCTCTCTCATAATTGCTGTATGGGTTTGCCTACCATACTCTAGTTTTTCCTTCTACTTTCTTCCTACACCTGCTAAATAATTTTACTCTCAATTTTTATTTATTTTTTAAATGATGAACGTAAATCTTTGAACATACGCCTGGACATAGAAAGTGATAAATAATATTATCAGAAATAAAAATAAAAAAATTTTAAAATACAAAAGAAAATAAATACTGCTTTCCACCATTACTATAAATCACTTTTAATCAAATTAAAAAAACTAATATATATGATTAACTTATAATAAAAATTATAAAATATTATTTTGTATTTATCTTTCTATTATTAATAATATATTTTTATAATAACAGAAGTGATGAAAAAGGATAGACAAAAAAATTATGTTACACAAGTTATTGTATAATTTTTATTGTAGGTATAATATTACTTAAAACAAAATTATAATATATTATATGAATTTTATCCTTCTTATTTATAATTAAGTTTTCATGTTAAAAGTCAATATACTCCTTCCAACTCTAAATATAAAAAAAAAAAAAAAAAAACTCTCATATTTATTGATTTAAGATATAAATAAATCTCACTCTGTTGTCATCTTTCAAAATACTTTTTTATTTAATTAAGATTGTATTTCTAATTATTCGCTTTTTTATTTTTATCAAATGTTCCAATGAATGATTGTTTAGGAAAATAAGTTATTTTTTAGATGGAAATGACAAGATTAAATGATACAAAAAAAATTTCTTAATTAATTAATGTGAATTATTTTTTTCTTCTTTTGTTTATATTTAGAAGAGGAAGGAGTACTTTATATCAAAATTTAAGCATCAATGCCAATAAAATTGATATAAATGACAAATAAAAAATTTAAGAAGTGAGAAATAAAATATTTATTTATCAAATTTCCTTCCAATAATAAAAAACATATATTCTCAAAAATTTTAATATATGTAAAAGATAAAAAAAAAATTATGCTTTATAAATATTATAAAATGCCTTATAAAAAGGACCATCATTTTTTTTAAATTGTATTTTATAATAAGAACTAAGATAATATCTCATTTTATTAATTAGTATGAGAAATGATTGTGCTATTTTTCAACCTATAAATGTTAGGAATTAAATAACTTATTAAAAAAATAATATTTCATTATATTATAAAAAATATTAAATGTGTTAATAGAATTGGTTTAACAAAATTAATATACACATTTCAACTATCTTTAATTAAGAATGCAAAAAGAAAAATAATACTAGACTTTTTAAGGTCAACTTTTATTTTAAATTCATTGCAAAGACTTTTAATTTTAATAGGACAGTCCATAATAAATCATTATTAATAATAATTGTATTTAGTTTTATAATAATGATTTAGATTAGAATTATAATTGTACATATTTTAAGTTTGTTGCGATGTTACATGTTAGGCCCATTACACTCAAAATATCACATTTGTTTTTTATGAATCAATGTTTAAGTCAAATCTCAATTCTTAAGAGACTTGAGATTTTTTATAGTGAATCAAAATCCTAATCAAGGTCAAGGCCTAACAACCTACATGTATGTTCTTTTTGTACAATATTCCTAATCAAGTCAAGTCTAGGCTCAAAATATTCCATGTATTATGGTTCGCATAAGCTTTACAATTTTATCTTTAAAGATGCTAGGTATGAGTTAAAAAATAATGTTTTTTTTATTATAAATTAGAGTGAACCATAATTTTCATTCTCTCATATCAATATATCATTAAAAAAATCACAAAAATAGAACAAATGTTGTATCATGCTGATAAAGAAAATTGGTTAAAAATATGAAAGGAGAAAAGTGTGGTCAAGAGAATATATTCTATTGAAGGTTAAACGCGGCTAGATAGTATTTTTTTTTTCTATAAAAAATTTTTATTAATAAAATTAATAAATATTTTACATCATTATAATCATTTCAATAAATATGTATGTGCGTGCGTGTATTTATATATATATAATTATGCTAGTGTAATCATAGTCTATAATTATCTATTGATTAAATTATTAAATTAAATCAATAAATAAATAATGTGAATTTATTAATTACTTGATTATTTAAATAAATTAAAATTGCGTGTTAATATTAAGATCAAATTATTTTTGTAGAGATTCAGTTTAGTGATGAAAGACAAATTCTTAAATTATAATCCTATTATCTATTATAAAATAAAAAAATTATTTTTATATATTATTAATCATAATAAAAATAATATTTTTAATCATGACTTTATGTTTGTAAAAAAAAAATTCAATATTTAGTTATAAAATATAAATGTCCAAACACTTATAATAATGATTTTTGATAATGAAAAATTCTTTAATTAAAGGTTATATTATATTTTTATTTTTATTAATATGTAATTTTAGTCATTTTATTTTAAAATAGAGACATTTAAGCTCTCTAATTTTAAAAATATGAAATTTTGGTCTTTCTATCAAATTGATATTTAATAATATTGTTAAGTTTTAATATTTACTTATACTTAAAAGATATAAAATTTAGAAATAAAAAATCTAAAAATAATGTAATTAAAATTTTTATTAATAAAATAAATACTAATCACTTGTAAAGATAAATACAAATAAATATCTTTTATATATTATTTTTTAATTTTCTTATATATTATGTTACTAAATATCACATCATTTAAATAATAATAAATCACAAGATAACGTTAAAATTTAATTATTAGTAAATATTAAATTGATAATAAGATCAAATTCTTATATTTTAAAAATAAAAAATTAAATTATTTCTATTTTAAAATAAAAGACTAAAATTGTAGATAAAAAATAAAAGAACTCAGCGTGCAATTTAGTCTTAATTTATAAAGAAAAAAAAAACTCATACAAATGGATTTTTCTTAATTAAAATAAATAAATAAATAAGAAAGTCGTCATAGTAGAAGATGGAGCTCCTTGACCTAAATCCACCGTTTCATTTCATTGATGGGACCTACCGCCCCACTAACTTAACTTAAAAAAAATATCGAGTAAAGTTAATGAATGAATTTATTCTACTAGACTAAAGATACATAATAATTGTGTTAATTTCAGGTTATAAAACATGGGACAAACATATAAAACATGAGTTGTCTCATCATGGGGTCAATACGTGAATTTATGTATTTTGATTCAATTATAAACTGTAAGTTTGTATGAATTAGATTGAATTAAAAAATAATGTCACTTTCCTTAATTCAATTCACATATTTTAAAAAATAATTCTTCTTATTTAGTATAAAATTAGTTTAATTGATTTTTATTTTTATTTCACTTTATTATTTATTTATTTTTTTAAAAAATTTTATATATAAACTTAAAAAAAAAACTAAAAATCATTTTTTCAAAATCTCAAAAATAATTTAATACAAGATAATCATGGAATTTGTCTTACAAAAGCGATATGTACATGATAAATCCTTACATGTGATCGTAGAAATTGTTTTTAGAATGATAGGAAATCAAATGTAAGGGTATGACAATTTAATGAATTTCATAGTTTTTCAAATATATATAGCAGTATTGGGAGTGTTCATCAGCGGTAATACAATTTTAATTCTAAAAACATAAATATTTTTTTTAATTTTTTTTAGAAAATATTGTTATTTTTCCTTAAAAAAAATACAAAAAAAATATAATTTTAATTTCCAACGAAGGACTAAATGTAAAAAAATGTATTGATTTTTATTATATAAAATAACAAGCTTGAACATTTTTAGAAGAAGTTATATACTTTTAAAATCAAAAGATATTATGTGAAAAAGCTTTGTTGAAAAAGATATTATGTGAAAAAGCTTTGTATTCAACACACCGCTTCTTATCTTACATTCTTTCTCATTAAGCAATTCAAATCCAATATATAAGCCTTATTTAAAGATCAAGTTCGAATACAAAATGTTCTGTATGAACTCAAACAGAAAATTGTAAGATCTATTTTCAATTAATAAGTAGGAAGAGAATAAGTTTTCACGAGAATGAGCATGCCAAGAAAAATTCAAAGGGATGCTTTATTTTCCCAACAAAAGAGAGAGAGGATATTTTCAAAAGCATTGCCACAACATAATTGCAAAGGTAGTAAAGTTAATTAATTTCTTAAGGCCACTTAAGACACATGTATATAGAAACCCTTTACCTTGAATAACTGCCTGTCCTACAAAATTTAGTATGAAACAGAAGAAGAATTGAGCATATATAAATTAGATTGATAGAACTGTCATGAACTCATATCCTCTTAACTAGAAATTTAATTATTATAATCCTCCGTATTCATTCAACTATTAAGTGTTATATGATAACATTTTTTTTCTTCTATTTTTATGAGAAAATGGGATTAAAATCTATGTTTGATATCACTTAATCATCGTCCAATGTTGTTTAGGTAAAAAGTTACTAATGTGATTATGTTTGTGATTATGTTTGATGATACTAATCTTGTGTTCAATATCACCAAGTTAGAGAGTCCTTTAAGCAATCATGCTTGACTTCTCTCGTTTCACGTATAGTGTGACCAAGTTAGAAAATTCTTAACTATTTAGTGCTTAATATCATTCAGACAGAGAGTTCCTAACTTGCATCATTTTCGACACCATAAAGTTGTGTTTAGTGCAATGATGATTTCTACACT